GACTGTCAATTCGTCAAACAAAAGCCGGCGGCACTTTAACCTTTCCTGTTGTTTTCCGTCCCTCAAAGCTACGCTGCTTAACACGTTCTCCTCCCTGACGGTGCTCAGCTGACAGCTCTCCGCCCCCGTGGCTCTGTGGCAAGCGGCCCTCCACAAAGGCCTCAGGAGCGTCTTCCACCTCCACTTCCAAATTCCCTCAGCACAGGGAGACAGCTGTGCAAATCTCATTCTCCTGCAAAACACACACACACATGCATGCACATATTGATGCTTGTCTGGGCTTAGCTGTCGTCTTCAAACAGTTCTTTTGGGATAAAGATGCGTCTTTGCTTTAAAAAAGAGAGACAGTCACTAAATAAGATGTGCCGGAGTTTCATAAGCAAATCCTTCCTCTTTTTTTTTGAAACCATTTCTCCCTTGGGGGAGGTGAGAGAGAAGAAGACAGCAGAGAAAAGGTTGTGGTAGAAGATCTGATCCAGTGCACAGTGACACAGTGAACTAATCCTGAAATCAACAGCTGAGAAAATTGGGTTCTTTCTTCTCTTGTTGTCCATTTAAACATAGTCGGGAAGTTCTCTCTGTACCATTGGTATTTCACTGTGCACCGAACAGCCAGAGGGAAAAAAAAAACACTTTATAATATACATATATAATATGTTATATATAAAATATATATATTATATGTTATTTTTATAAATAAATATTTTTCCCAATTGTATTAGAACATCATTTTGATGAACTAAGTTCTTCCTCTAACGTCGACTCTAACCCTGGTTCATGGTTGATTTACAAATATAATATTTTCCTGTGTTATTTTTATTTGGGGCTGCGACCTCAAAGCTCAAAGGGGTAACAGCAACATTTCAAGAAATGGTGTCATATTTTTCTGCGTCCTCCTCTTTCAGCCGTCAGTGGGGCCGAGGACGTTGCCCTCTACGTGGGCATGGTTGCCGTGGCCCTTTGTCTGACCCTGCTGCTCATCGTGGTGGTCCTGGTCTACCGGAGGAAGAAGGAGGGCCTGGACGCAGACGTGGCCGACTCGTCCATTCTCACCACTGGCTTCCAGCCCATGGGCATCAAGCCCAGCAAGCCAGGTGTGTGGGCACCGCGGCCACGCAGGCCTCCCCCCCACAGCAGTAGGACACTATTCTTTGGTCTAAACTCCTCTGTGCATTTGTTGATGTGTCTGTTTGACCACTGTGACGGTGCGGCACTCATCCACACGCTCCGCCGCTCCTGTGTTTGTATTTGTGGAGATGGTTTCAGTGTGTTGACGGTGGGATTTTTTATTTATTTTTTTTTGTAATGTGTCGTTGTGTTTCATTTATTTGCCAGTCTGATCCATTATGTTTCACCTCTACCTCACTGTCAGGAAATGTAGCCCCTCTGTTTATTGCCCGGGTGGCGCTTCAGAGGTTTAGCAGGAGTAATAGAAATACAAATGTCTGAGTTGGAGGGAGATGGAGAAGTAGTCTGCAGCGCCTGTGATTCCCAGTGAAATAGGCCTTTATACATGCCCGCTGCTAAGCTGTATCTCAGTTGTGTTTGGAATTGATTGTGCGGTTGCTAAAGAGACAGGCAGAGCTAGAGACAGAGAGCGAGAGGAGGGGAATTGGCTGGCTGCGGGTGAAATTTGTGTTGTGTATTGTGTCGAGAGTGTGGGAGCGTTCCGTTCCTTGCACCACATGTCTTTGCCTGTGTTTGCCTCGGATTTTTGTGTCTAGTGACAGCTTTACAGAGTGCGAGGTTTGTTTATGTGATTTATTAACCCTCGTCGATTTGCCACTCACACATTTGCCTTTGTCTGTTTTATTTTCTCATTTAACGTTGAACAGAGAATTCCCACTTGCTGACGATCCAGCCCGATCTGACCACCACCACCACCAGTTACCAAGGCACGCTGCGCTCCCGCCACGACACTACTGGGAAGTTTTCTATGACCAACGGGCCCCTGCTGGACCCACTGCCAAATGGATCACACACCCTGCACAATGGGAAGCTTAATTCAAACCCGTCTGAGTTTGTGAGCCGGCTGTCCTCTCAGAGCTTTTTTAAAACGCTGCCCCGCGATGTGGATAATACCTCCTACGGGACCTTCAACTTCCTGGGAGGCAGACTGACGATCCCTAACATGGGTAGGTTCATCTTACAATTGATGTTCAGTTCCCTTGGCCTAAATATGTGTATACAGAGCACTCAATCACAAGAATAAAACATACTGAAACTAAAACAATAGAAAAATAGAGATTATACAATTATATAAATTGTGCAAAACTCAGACACTTTAGAAAAACAGACGTGAACTGATGGCAAACTTCACTTTCTCACTGAGGGTCACATCGGAGCCAGTAGGTTTGAAGTAGGGGATCGTATCCATGCTTTACGATCCCCTACCTCCCTACCGCGACACCTGATAGCTGTGGCTAAAATCCAGCCAAGATTCAGGAGGAAAGTAGACCCGTCACCCAACAGAAAAACATTGGACCAGACAGTTCCTTTGTATATGGTGTGAACGACTCAGAGCTCATTCCACACCAGATCGACTTTGCTAACGTCTCAACTGATCTGAGCCTCAAACTCTCAAACTATAGATTTTCCTTCTCGCAGGTCAGCGTGTATTACACTTTTGTAACTTTTGTTTACCATCAGATTTCTGCCATGTTTTTCTGCTGAGATTTACCTCAGAAAATCCTGCGGCTCAGCTGAGTGATTCATGTGTGAACAGCCCCTGTGACCAGGCACCACATCAGGGCTTAAAGACAATTTTTTTTGCGAGGGGTTAGCACAAAATGAAGGCAGTGACAGATGATGCGTGAAAACACTTGCTGTCTTTACCTTCTGTAACCTCTTTGCTGCTACAAACCCGGTGAACTCAGGAAAGGTAAACGGACACAAACCTTAAACAAACCCTCCAGCCTCGAAACTCGCAGAGAAATAATCACAAGTGTATATGAAAACATTCATCATTTAAACAGAAAAAAGAGAGAGTATCATCTGCGAATAAAATTGCTAGGTTTGTAACTGTTACAGGAGCAGACAGCTCTATATTTACAGACAGGACAAAACTCTTCTGGCCAGTGTTTGACATATGAGGTCCACTTTCCAATAATGATGTCCAGGGAAACATAAGGTGCAGTAAAGGGCAACTTGTGGTGCCGGTGTCAGTCCATGTAGCTCTAATGATGCTGCTGGATGACAGTCCTAAAAAACTCTGCAGCCGGTGTCAGTCTGTGATTGCGGTTTGTGTGCAATAAGGTGGAAAGGAAACAGACCAAAACAGAGAGGTAAAAATACGGAATCAGAAATTTTCTATAAATCCCCTGGGGGAACGTTCTCAGCTTTAAAGATGCTCTTGTGAGAGCAGGAATTTATAAGTAAACACGTTTATTTAGGGTTGTCAATCAATAAATTCTTTGTCAAATGATCATAAAAATTATAGCAATTAATCTCGATTAATTGCGATAAATCAACATTTCTAAATAAAACACTCACTCACACATCCATTGTCCTGCACCTTCAAATCTACGTTCACACAACTCAAACCGTGTTGCATACTGCACTGCAATCCCCCCCGAACCTCCACCCGTAGTAAACACACACCTCATCCACCCTCACCCAGAGGTTCAGAGCTCTAATAATGTCTGAAAACACTGCTGCTTTTATTTTCCCTCTAAAGTGCAGGCCTGTGTTTTTGCTGTAAAGTGGCAAAAACGGTGACATTTGAAAACTGGGATGCAATTAAAAGTTTTATCATCAGGGCTGTCCAACTGATTAATCACGGGAAAGCTAAAGGATCAATCAAGATTAATAAAGATTAATTGTGATTATTATGAAAATATATTGTAAAAACAAATGCAAATATATTCCTCAAAATTTAGCTTCATAAATTCTGTTGGATTTTAGTCATTACTGTGCGTCTTCAAGATTAATAATGATTAATCGTGATTATTATGAAAAACATATTGTAAAAACAAATGCAAAGATATTCCTAAAAATTTAGCTTCATATATTTTGTTGGATTTTAGTCATTACTGTGCGTCTTCACGGTGGCTCGTAAAACAGAAAACAGCTACTCTCATAACTTTGTCCTCAACAATATTATTGAACTGATCTGGTCAAGATGGACGTCTCACCAGAAGTTGAAGCCCCCGCAAATGCATGCTCGGTGCTGAGTGTTATTTGAAGCTTGAGGCGCTTCAGTAAAACGAAAACTTAAAACACATTTTTATGTAAATAAATGTGCATTAATTGTGTTTTACAGCAACAATGAGAATTATTGGATTTGAATCTGATGAATTTAACACATTAATAATCACAGTATCAAGTTGACTGCCCTGACAGATAAATCGACTGGACCTTTCAGAGTTGGAACTCTTTCATTGTTACTACATTAAAAGGAACATTTAGAGATATTTTTATTACATCAGCTTTAATGTCCCCGATAGGGACAATTCATCAGTAACAGCTGAGTCCCATAAATGTTGAAACCAACCCAGATCATTCAGCGTTTAAATCTGGTGCATGTGGGTTCCTTGATAGGATTTGCACCATGTTAGCATGCATTAAAATGGTCCCAGTGCTTCATACTAAACAGCTTCACACACCAGCCATAATTCTGTCCCTTCATAAGGAGCGAGATGAGACAACGATGTAAAATGATTTGTGATTAATTCATATTGTGTGTAAAGTAGTCGCATGTTTGTCTCTAAAGAGACAGATCCTAAAAGACAGAAAGTAAATATGTGAAGTGGTGGTTGAAGCCGAATGTTTTGTCAATAATTTATGTCGGTGCAGCACAAATGAAGAAAAAAAGAAAGTCTGTGTGCCAGAAACATTCTGCTTTAAAAGATTCCTGGAATAAAAACGGGCACAATTATTCCAATTAGACCCATCACTCATGGAGCGAGCGGACTTAGTAACGGACGTGGTAAAAGTGTCGGCTTTGTGCTAAGAGCAAAGAGTGGGTAATAAATCAGTCAATTAAAACTTGGTCTGCTTAAAGACGCAAGCCAAATGTGCAGAGAAATACGAGGAAGGAGAACGTGTCCTTCACTCTCTGAGTTATGAATCTTTGATGCTACCTTGGTTGTTTTTTAAACTTGAACTTTTACCTTATTTATTGCTTTTACCCTGACGTCACCTATTTGATGTATTTTGCAAGGCTAAACTGTGGTGCAGTGTTTAAGGTGAATTTGGAAGGCTGTGTTTAAAATATTAAAACATTTTGAACAAGTATTGCTTTTCAGCAAACTAAGGTCGCGCCCTTTTTGATATGACATTTTTTGCTTTAAGTTTGTGGAAGATTGAAGGAAAGGCAATCATTCAAAGGTGTAAATATGATGAGCGATTATAAAATACTAACAACAATTGTCCTCAGACCAAAGCCATAAATTTGAAAGTAAAAACATATGCATCACAAAAGTCAAAGGTTCCATTCCTGGAGGTAAATGATGATCTTTCTATACCGGGTTTCATATCCTATGTGTTTTTTCTCTCTTCAAGCCTTTCACAGTCCAGAAATGTGGAGATATGTGGCATCGACTCTACACAGACAGTATACAGTACTTCACTCATGCCCCTATTCTAACCTCAACCACAACAGATATACTGTGTGTCCAGTCTTACATTTAACTCTAACTCTAGGCTGACCCTAATTCTAGTCATATCTTAAGACCAAAATCTAAAGCACAAAAAAATTAAATAAAATCAATATCGCCAGTAGTACAGAAAAAAAAAGACAAACTAATTATTAGCTCACAAAGATTAACGGGTAGACAACTTTTGTAATTATTAGCTCACAAAGATTAACGGGCTCCTGTCGTCTGACGCCGTGTCAGAGACGGCACAAGGACGACATGGTTTTCAGATGTGGACGAGTCTTAAAACAGTCCAGCACCTTGGCCTGGTTCCAGCAGAGGTTTCTATGGTAAACACACATCTTCACTTCACAATCAGACTGTTATGACTGTGTTTAATACTCACTGTTTGTGCTCCATTTTAAATAGGTTTCTAAGTGGCTTATTTGGCATCACAACATAAATGCCACAACACTCGCGGTACTTCAGTCGCTCTCTCTTTCCTCCAAGGTGCATTTCTACACTCTCCTGGGAAAGTGCAATTTTCCTGGAGTAGTCTGTTCCGTGGTCTCAATTATCTACTCGGTGGCAGACGGAGGACATCTAAACGTGCGCCTTTGTTTTGGCTAATTGTTGACTGTCGGGACGTGCGCGGCCGCGGCTGCTAGTGCAGAGATTTGCATCTGCTGCACCTGGCACAGGCCGTCTCTGACCTTCAGAATAGATCTGTTTATTTGTTTTTGTTTTGTTTTTTTTCCAGCCGTACAGTTGTGTTGAGTGGGCCAGCATCTTTGTGAGATGACAAAAGTGTTGTTCAGTCAGAACAAATGAGCCTGTCCCCGCGTACTCCCTCTGCCTAACCCCCCCACCCCCTCTCTCTCTGTCGCTCTGTTGTTATTTGCATTAGGAATCAGCCTGCTCATTCCTCCTGAGGCCATCCCCAGAGGCAAGATCTATGAGATTTATCTCACTGTTCAAAGGAAGGAAGATTTAAGGTGGGTCTCTTTAACACTGTCTAACTGGCAGACTTCCCTGGATGCCACTAGGCTGTTTGTTTTGATGCTCCACTGTTCCATTAGGAACGGCTTAAGAGCGTACGCAGCGAAGGGAGGGATGTGAATAAATAACCCAGCCTTTTTACTGGGATGTGACTGTTTAAGTTGAATGAATTGTTTGCAGAACATTATTTATCAGGCCTGCTGCATCCTGTCTCTGGCGTCTCAGTCATTGAACCACTCTCCTAATGTTGTTATTACTCACTCACACTCACTTGCTACAGCTAGTCAGCCACCGCTGCTGACTTTCATTATTCTCTGTTCCAGCCACTAGATAATTTGCAGCGGTGGCAGCTTCATATTGTGCTTTTTAGTGAACAGTAAATTCTTACTAACAAATGAACAAAAGCTATTGGTCCTGGTCCACCGACTCCTCTTCCCTCTTCTCTCCTGGGTGTAGGTTACCCCTGGCCGGATGCCAGACCCTGCTTAGCCCCGTGGTGAGTTGTGGTCCTCCTGGGGTGGTCCTGAGCCGCCCAGTTATCCTCAGCATGGACCACTGCTCTGACGCAAGCCTCGATAACTGGGCCGTGCGCCTGAAGAAGCAGAACTACGAGGGCGTATGGGAGGTGAGGCAGTGCTGAGCCTCTGGCACAAATCCTTTGTATAAAAAAAAACAAAAGCAAAAAAAAAAAACCTGTTATTTTTGCTCCAGCTTTCCCAAACTCTGTGAGTTTTTCTTTAAAAAAGTTGCTCAGCGGCGACATGAAGCCTTCACTAAAAGCCCTGTCGCTGAGGTAATCTGACCCAGCACTCATCCACTCCATAGGGCTTAAATTATATTGACCATCAGGTGTTTCTCATTGGGTTGGAACAAAAGCTGAGAAGCGCCGTCTCTCTCCGGCATCTGTTGCTAGGCAACATGCTTCTCAAAACAGAAATTCTCTAAGCAAATTACTGATCCTCAAAGTACTCTTCTGAGTGCTCCTTGACCGCTTGTGACCGCTTCTACCAATTACAGCGTACCCTCCCTATTTTTCATGTCCATGAAATTTGAAAGTAGCCAGAACTGCCAGATGCTAGCAGGATGAAAGTGGAAAGAAAGAAATGAGCCGTCTGCTCACGTAAATATACAGTTTGTTTCACTTCACCGCAGAGTCTGAAGGTATACTGATGTATACTTGGGAGTGTTGGTAGCTATTTCTTCGCGTTCAATACTGTGCATAAATTATTCAGCCTTCCCATGTGTGGTGGCAGCGCGGTGTCCATGGGATAGATTGGCCTGTCTGAAGACGAGGGCGGACCAGCACTTTTAATCATCAACTGGACCAAATATAGACCACGGGCCGGCCTGTGTGGCTACCAGAGAGGGGGTGGGGGGGAGAAGAAATCTGCGAGGGGGATAAAAGAGAAAAGTAGACAAGTGGGTAATAAATATGTGGAAGGAACGACCAGCAGCACCATGGGATGGAAGAGTAGAAATATGGTTGTACAGAGAAGAAAGAGTCCTGGAGAATGGCGGTGAAAATGGCCATGCAGAGGCAGGATGAGTCAGAAAAATGAACTGCAGGCCGAACGGGTGCTCAGCGGTGTAATGGAGCCGCCTCACCCTCTGCATGGCTGTGAAGAAATATTAAGATGATGAAAAAATGAGACTCTATTGTGGTTGCATAGTAAATGAGTTGTGTCAATACTAATTCTATTCATGCAGTTGGTGTCTGGATGAATCAATGCTGTGGGAGGGGTGAGGAGGGGGGGTGAGGAGGGAAGGGATTTTTTTCCTTTAACTTTATTGGCTAATGGTGGGAGTCAGACCAGTGGCATTCAGGGGTTTTAAGGAGAAAATGTTGTCGCCTTGGGTCCGATTTGTCCGGATGGAAGTAGCCGTAGGCGCGTGTCGCGGTTATCTATTAAAACAGTCCTGGACACTAATCGAGTGATTTGTCATCAGCTCTCTGTTATTTCTTTTTACAAATCTAATTGTGATACAGTGCGTTAGATTCTAAGAAAAAGGGAAGGCACGTCACTGGTGTGATGAATTCAAATGTGTTCATTTTCTTCATCCCTGCTGAATTACAGCACTGATAATTGGCGCTGCCTGTTGCCGTGAGTGCATTCATCAATCTCCTCCATCGGACCACGAGGCCTGAGGATTGGCACCCTGTTCTCACCCTTCTTAACAAATCCCAGTGGTGGGAGGGGGAAATTTCTGGAAATCCCAATAATCCAATATTTACTGCACCTTCGTGCTCCTGCTCTTCCTCCTCAACCATCTATTCTTACCAGGAATCTATTCCAGTCTGCTTTCATGTCAATTGAGCGTTTGGTTCATGCATTATTTAGTAAACTGATGGTGTTCTGTACGACCCGTGTCTTTGTATGAGGAAATGTCAAAATGGAGTAAGAATGCAGGGCAGGAAAATAAAAAAAAAAAATAGGAAATCCGAAGCAAGAACACGACGTTTCTTTTCATTTTCTCTGATCTGAAGTGTTACACAGACACGTGTAACATTAGCTCCGAGACCTTTAGCTCAGATGTGACTTTGCCGCACAGTAGGGAGGAAAGATTTTGGGACCTTGCCGCTGTGCCAAGTACTTCCTTAATAACCCTTTTATAGAAACACACCGGCAGCCTCGCACATCAGGCACCAGACAAACACATTACCCTTCCTCCTGCATAAACTTTCTTCTTGACCTTTTTTTAAAAAAAAAACACACACTTGTGATATTTTTTTCTTCATTCTCTTCACCCACACTTGTGATATGTTTTTCTTCATTCTCTTCACCTCCAGGACGTCCTGCTCATGGGGGAGGAGCTTGTGTCAGAGCCCTATTACTGCCAGCTGGAGGCCGAGACATGCCGGGTGTTCACGGAGCAGCTGGGCTCCTTCGCCCTGGTGGGGGAGTCCCTGCACATGGGTGCCGCCAAGCGCCTGCGGCTGGTGCTCTTCTCCGACTCGTACTGCTCCACGCTGGAGTACAACATCAGGGTGTACTGCATGGACGACACGCAGGACATCTTCAAGGTAAACCAGGGAATCACGCTGCTGCCAATTTGTCTGTTTCTGTTGGCAGCGTCTGAGGCCGAGACTGCAGAGCTCAGACGGCGCTGCAGCAGCTGAGTGATGGCTGGACTGTGATGTGTAATGGTTCTGTCTGCCACTGTGAAAGGTTAGTGGAAGCTGAGCAGACATGTAGGAGTCAGGCCTAGACGTGGTAAATTGAACAACAGCGCGGGCTTGATTACACCATGTGCAGTTTCAAGAACGTGTGATCTGTGACACTGACGTTCCCTCCACATCATATGTTCAAGTCCAGCCCCGAGGAACTGTGGAGGGATTTGATGTGAGTGAGAACTGAGGTGATTCACAGACACAGGAGCTCAAACAGTGGGTTGACTTATATTAGCAATATTTAAACATATATTGATAATAATATTGGAATTTTCAGAGTAAAGATTAAATGTATGTCAACTGAAAAATTTCAAGTTTACTTAAAAAGTGCAAATTGCCGTCTTATTTTTTTGTAGAGTAAAGCACATACAGTGAAACAGGCAGTGGTTTTTACATTATTTATTACTTTGTTGTTGTTTTCGGTGAAAGTTTTTAGAAGTTTCAGAAATATTAAATCATTAAATATTAAAGCTTAGAGGTTCAGTTTTATTTCTGATACCAAGTCCAATATCAACAAAGTTTTTCACGTAATAATAATAATAATAATCGTCCCACAATGTAAACATTTACAGTCTGAGTGTAACTCACAGGCTACCACAGGGGGCGCCATTAGAGATGGGCTTCTACTGGGGCTCAAACCCAGGACCCTCTGCGTGTAAGGCAAATATTTATACTATTTTGTATAAAGTAAAATACGGAGCTATTTAAATATTTGACAGATTTTCTACTGTTTGTTAGTTTCTCGTTAATGTACATTTAAATATTTTTGATTTTGATTTTTTTTTTTAAAATAAAGTGGCAAACGAGTGGTCTAATCAACAGACCCCTCTTTAATTTCTAATTCTTTGTTCACTTTGACGGAACTCAGGTTCAAGCATGTGTTGACACACCGCAGGTAAATCGACACTTTTATTAAAATCAACATCACGGGGCTGGGATCAGAAACACCAATCAGGTCCAAACCCGTTCTGAAAGACCCTTCACTGAATACCTCACACAGGTTCGACTCTCCTTCTAGGACTCTTGACATTTACTGCGTCACATCCTTCAGCGTGTACAAGGATTTGACAGTGTTTAAAGGCACAGCTGAGGAGACCAATCTCTAAGACAGAAATAAATTCCAGGAACGCAGTTAAACATCTACGGAGAAGTTGAGGGGATGAGAATTACATTAAGGATTTCACAGAACCAGATGACTCACCGAGACGGATTAAGATGTATTGTCTGGTCACACGTCTGAGATTCGTGTTTGTTTGTTTTGGTTTTTTTTTCAAGATATCGTCATTACAACAATGTGTAGGCATTATGGCTCAGAAGCGTTTTTATAATGTCAGTCAACTTTAGCAGAAAATTTGACGATACATTCAATGTAAAATATGAACTCAAAGTTAAGAAGTTGTTTTGATGACCAAAAATACTGCAGAGATATTACACTGACTGCAGCAACAGGTAATAAAGTCAAAAAGTACTTCCTTAAATAGCTTGTACTGCGTGCAGTACTTATACCACAATTTTTTATTTATTGATAATTCAGGTTATATACATATTCACACATCATCAAAAGTGAAAAAAGTTTTCAAATCAACACATTGACATTTTTGAAATAATACATATAATTTCATTTCTTAGATTTAATTTTACCCTGGGGTCATGTGGACGACGGCATACTGTAAAATATGACAATAAGAAAATGTTGAATCATTAAAATTAAATTACAATTTGGAAAAAAAACCCAGAAATTACACCCTTACCAGTCATTAAAACAAAATAGTTTTTGGGTTTGTTTTTTTTTTTTTCTATCATTACAAGACAGACGCTCCTTCCTGACCACATGTTCCTGGTTCGTCTTGTGTGTTTGCACTCTATAAGATTACACTCCATTCATGCTGTTAGCTGGTCTGTTAGCGCCGTCGCTGAGGGCCAACAAGTTCCCCATCACTTTGTTCAACAGCATATTCACTTTTTTTGCTCTCCACATGGACAAAGTATAATCAAGCGCTAATGCCTTCCTGCCTCCCCCGAGGACGCTGTCTGAGTAGCCTGTTAAGATTTCATTTGCATGGTTAATTAGTGAATTAAAAGGAGAGCCCGTCCCAATATCTTTTCCCAGCAACCCCCTGTGTACTCTCCCTCTCTCTCTCTCTCCGTCCACACCTCTCTTTCTCACTCCAAGCTGTTCCTCTTCATCTGACACCCACCTACAGCCACAAGTGCCACTTCCCGCTCGAGTCCACTTTTGCCGGCTGTAATGGCTGACCTCCTTGTGCAGGAGTTCACCGTCGGCACAATCTATGGGTAGCTGTAGGCCATAAACAATGGGCTGAAATTAGCACTCTCCCATTCAGGGAGTTGAAGATGAGATGAGGACTGTGCACAGGCTTCAGCCGTGGGACGGGAATTATCTGCGGCTCCTGGCTTACATCTATCTTCCCGTGGCTCATTTCTGCCTCGCCTGCTATCTTTCTCTGTTTCTGACAGCCCGTGCATGATTGCGTGGAGTGTTTATAAAAAATTGCCGGCTGACATTGGGCTGTGTGCTAATGTAAGGATGAGTGAAAATGGAGCGAGCATAAGGTGAATACTGTGCCCCCCCCCCAACCTCCCCTCCTGATGGGGCTGTCTGTGTACATTCAGATCACAGGGTGACCTGCTGTACTGATGCTTGGCCACAGTATGACTGTCAATGACCTTGAGTGTCCTGTGATGCAGGAAGGCTGCTGGTGCATAAAGGCTTGTTCTCTGTGTGTGTGTGTGTGTGTGTGTGTGTGCCCCTGGCTATCTCTGGTTCAGCCATTCTCCTACAGTAGCTCTGGTACTCAGGAAAAGGACATCCGAGCCTGTTGACTTCAGCACTTGTGTCGTCGTACTCTTTCGACTCCCTCGACGCCCTTGAGTGCATTAGCTTCCCATCGCCCGCACAAGCAGGTCGTGGTAAGCCACGGCGTCTCGGGGGCTCTGTAGATTTTTTAGTGAGTGATTTAGAACGTGGCCCAAACTGTTTAGTCATCTTGACTTCACGCTGCCGTTGATGCTATTATGGAGGGAGCACTTCATTTAGCAAGTACATTAAGCACTTTGAGTAGAGATTAAAGTTCCCCCAGAGAGATTTGGTCTAATCACTAATCACTATCTTAAAAAATGTACCATTTATGAATAGACTCCCAGTTAAGCCACCGGCACTGTTTGTGTTTGTTTATACCGGCGGTAGAGTATCGGTGAGCAATGCTATGCTAGTAAGCGGATTGTATCCGTGCCTAAAGTGCACCTTCAGAACATATTTTTAGCCGTACCTGGAGCTCCACCTATAGGTGGGATCAACAAAGAAGGCCATAGGGTGAGGGAGGACGGCGAGCTGTGATTCGTTAATGTAAAGACAAGTCAATGTTCATTCTGAGATAGAAGAACATTTTTATACAAAAACAATTTCAACCTCCCTCATGTGGAACCGTGTCGTTTAAAAACTGTTCATTTATTCCCATGTTTTTTTTGTTTGTTTTTTTAATTGGTTGACATAAGAAGTTGACAGAAGTTGAATGTTATTGGAGGTTAGGTAAGGTGACAATCGGTGATAGTGGGTGTTATTGGAGGCTAGGTAAGGTGACAATCGGTGATAGTGGTAAATTAGCCAGATGAGCTAACTTCTCCAGGTTGAGATTCTTAGCAATCTACGCTGATCAGCAAACACCAATCTACACTAACAAACTAATTAAAATATATAATTAAATGCCAGTTATAGCTAATGGTTAGATATGACGTAATCAGAAATACATCGCTACAATTGAAAATCTTTGTTATTTATTTATTGCAATTAACTGCTCTTTAATCAAGAAGTGACAGCAGCAGAGAGAAGACTGAAAAAAGAGGCGTTTAGGTGCAGTAGTTAAGTGCAGGTTGTCCAGTCTCTGGCACTCGGTGTTCCTCAGTGAGCCCGTCTGATTCCAACTGCCACAATCACAGGCACATATGCATTCACGCTGCACCACCCAATCTCCCAATTACAGCAGATTAGAACCAATGTTTTTGTCTTTGATCCTAAGTGAGTGGGGGCTCCGGGGGGAGACAGTGACATTTCTGTCTGATGCTTGCCGTATGTTAGCAGCTCTCTGCTGGGACCAATTAAGTTAATATTTAATGTGCGTCCCGCTCTTGATAGGCCGAGCCAAGGCTGGCACGGCAGCAGAGGAGAGACATGATCAACGTTTGGTCGCACTCCCTCGCTGTGCTCCTGGTTGTTCACAGCCAGACCTGTGGGATGTTCTGCCGTCTCACAGCTGATGGAAACACCTGCAGTGAACCAAGTCCGAGTCTGGCCGTGCAGCGGTGTCTAATTAGACCAGAGGAGGTTTTCAAAGGTGTGTTTTTCAGAAGCTTTCATGTAGAGCTGTCAAACAAATCCATTTGGAATTTGGAATCTGATCAATCACAGGGTGGCTGTGATGTAGAGCTGTTCACTGAAGCCCTTGTCCTCAACAGTATTAGTCCGTCCACAGTCCCTCGCCGTCCAATTTGACAATTGTGTCAGTCAGCTCAGATTTATATCAGACATAGACTTATTTAGTCCAGTCCGCCTGGTGAGGCCGGTCTGACAAGAGCCGGGTCTCTGACCTAAGGATGAATTCTCCACAAACGCATGTTGAGCATTAAGAAAACACCTGAGGGGCCGTCTGAAAGTGTACAGGTCAGCGCTGATTCCTATTGGATTATGATTTTTTTCTGTCAAATTTGTGTTTCATTTCATGCACATGTGAGTTAGAGAACAAAATCTAAAGATTGCATTAATTTAAAATAAAACTTTTAAAATTCTTCTTCTTCTTCTTGGGAACTTTAGGCTACACCTACTCTACCACCAACTC